CACGACCCTCCACTCCTGCCAGGAGTCCGTTGTGTATCCGCTGCAAACGTTCAGTCAGGGTCAGGCTCTCCTTTGCCCAGTCTTCTCGTCGAGAAAATTTGATCAATTGCGTTGAGAGACCAGCTGATCAAATCCATGATTTCAGGTTTTGCAGTTTTTGGAGTGAAATGCAGAGAGAGGCTCTGATAGATTCAGACAAAGACAGCACAGGACAAAGAGAAGCAAGCAGGGCAGATAAGGGCCGGGAGGGAGCGAGAGAAAAAGCATCCACCTTCGTCGAGAGCAGGAAGAAAAACCAGATGATCTGGTCCAATTTGGATTATAAAGTCTGGTTAAATCTTAGTCAGATGGTCTGGTCCAGTCTGCTTCAGATGGTCTGGTCCAATCTGAGTCAGATGGTTTGGTCCATAATTGGTCAACATGATCTGGTCCAGACGAGGTCAGATGTTTGGCCCAATCTCAAACAGACGATCTGGTTCAATCTTGGTCTAATCCAGTCCAGGTCAGATAGTTGGATTCAATCTGGGTGAGATGGTTAGGGTGAATCTCAGACAGACAGTCTGGTTCATTCTGGGTCAACATGGTCTGGTTCAATCCAGGCCATATGGTTTGGTCCAGTCTGGCTCAGACGGTAGGTTGATTTTCAAGGATTCAAGGCCTTTATTGGTCAGAAACACAGTTATACATGGTATCCTGAGTGGGTGCTAGGCCCTCTGCTGCTTCTTGCTGTAGTCCACCATCAGCTCCTTGGTCTTGCTGACGTTCAGGAGGAGACTGTTGTCTCTGTACCAGTCCTCCAGGTGGGTGATCTCCATCAGATAGTCCTCCTCGTTGTTGTTGGAGATCAGACCCACCACTGCTGTGTCACCAGCAGACTTACTGATGGTGTCAGAGTGTGATGTGGACAGGCAGCCATTGGTGTGCAGTGAGTCCAGCAGAGGGCCCAGCACACAGCCCTGGGGGGCGCCGATGGTCAGGGTGGTTCCCCACTCGGACCACCTGTGGTCTGCTGGTCAAACAGCTGCAGATCCACCTGCACAGGGAGGAGGAGAGTCCGAGGTCCTGCAGCTCGGTGACCAACCTGGAGGGGATTATGGTGCTGAACACTGAACTGAAGTCCATGAACAGCATTCTCACATAATTCCCCTTCCTAGTGTCCAGGTGGGCCAGGGCTGTGTGGAGCAGGTGAT